GACGTAGAGGGAACCTTGGAAAAGCGTCAATATGTGACGACATGGGAGTGAGAATGGGTCTACCTATGGTGTCAATTACAGGCCTCTCTCATCTTTTTAAGTGGGAGAACTTGCACAATTGGTGACTGACTAAATACTTATTTTCCCCACTGTATATATATATATATATACACACACACACACATGTACATGTACATGTACATGTACATGTGTGTAGTAGTAGTAGCTGTACAACACTGCTCATGGTAAAGTCTTTGTTCAGTCTGGAACTAAACTGCTGCTGTAATTGATGCCCTCCCACTAACTTGCATTAGATTTGATACATTTCCTTTCTATCAGCTGTCGAAGCATTACTGCCGCCGCGCCGCGAGCTAAATGGGATCTGTTGCAGATGTTCAAAGCGGGGAGTCTGGTCGGGTTAAAAGGGACTGATTGCATTTAGCTCTGAATTGTTTTCTTTAGCCTGCAGTTGTTCAGCAGGTCTCAGTCAGCAGCCGGTGGATATTTTTTTTCTTATAGACTCGGGACTCCAGAGGCTGACCAATCTTGCACTCTTGGGTTGATTACTGCACGACTCCCGCTCACTCCCCGTTTCTGCTTGCCTAGGTGACCTCACACACAGCTTGGTAGAAGAAGGGGACAAGCAAGAGCTGCCGCCTCGGACCGGCCGCCCCCTATCCAAGCAGGTGCTGCGCTGCTCGTTTGAGGGCTGCTGCAGGACGTTCACCTGGCCGGCTCATCTTAAATACCACCTCAAAACACACAGGTAGCATAACACACACACATTAACTCCCATTAATTCATACAGCCTGATCCCTTACCCTATATTAAACTTTAGACTTAAACCTAACCCCTGACCCACAGATGATGGACCAGGCAAGTGCCCACCCAATGACAAAATGTCCTCATAAGCATAGTAGAATATCAAAATATGTCCACACATTAGACCAGTGTTTTTTAAAGTAGATTAAAAAAAAAATCAGTTTTAAATCATGATCAAATCTGAGATATGAGATGCTCTTTTGGTTTAAAGTGCTACTGTATTATAAATATGTCACCTTTTGGTACAAACAGAAAATTTTGCCTTTTTTTCCCAGCTCAGTAACAGAGTTTAAATGTTGCAGATGTTTCATTCATGCAAAGCATTTATTTGCAAATAGGTCGTATGTCCGCGGTCGACACAGTCGCCATTTTTGTTTTCCGCTCCTCGTCCAGGAACGACCGGATGTTCAGGTGCGGCGCCGAAGGCTGCGGGAAGAGTTTCTACGTGCTGCAGAGGCTGCAGGTCCACATGAGGACCCACAACGGCGAGAAGCCCTTCATCTGCAAAGAGAAGAACTGTGGCAAGAAGTTCACCACCGCTGGAAACTTGAAGAACCACAAGCGCACACACACAGGTGTGTGTGTGTATGTGTGTGGCTGGAAATCTGAGGAGTCAGCAGTGCTGGCTCCTCTGTTTCACTGCTGCAAGCTGTACGACAGCTCTGTTGTGCTTCATTTAAAGTAATATTTCTTTTTGATGACCAGTTTACAATCTACTGCATCGATTAGACCATCTACAGTAATGAGCTTTGATTTTACTCTAGCCACACATGAGATGCTGAACTATTAGGGTTGTTTTAGTTTATACAATACCAAAAATAGTTAAACTTTCAAGCTGATATCTGCCTCCTGTGTTGTGGAGCAATATGTGAGTGTGGCAGGTGGCTTTTTTTTRCCTCCAGGTGAGAAGCCTTTCCTGTGCGAAGCAGATGGTTGTGGGCGGTCCTTCGCCGAGTATTCCAGTCTACGAAAACACATGCTCGTACATTCTGGTGAGTGTTTACAGCTGCGCTCTCTTTTTTAATTGTTTTTTTTTTCATTCAAATTTCCAGATATATCTTCAGCATTAAAGCGACGGTATGAGTTCAGGGTGGGATTAAAAAAAGCTTTTGCTTTGCGTACATATTTCTTAGGCGAGAAGCCGCATGTGTGTGGGATCTGTGGCAAGACTTTCTCCCAGTCGGGCAGCAGGAACGTTCACATGAGGAAGAGACACGGGGAGGAGGTGCAGAGTAGCGACAGCAGAGAAACAGGTTTGTTGCTTGCACACCTCCACTCCGTGTGTCAGGAGATTATGCAAATCGTTGGCTCGTGGAGCTTGGAGTACGGTGTAAAATGATCAACATTATCAATGATGACGCTATTCCTACGAGAAAGTCTGCTACCACCAAACAGTCTTAAAGGGATCCATGATTAGTTTTAACATTAGACTTTATTTAATGAACATTTATTTTAACTGTAAAATAAAGACTGTAAAAATATTGTAG